AAGTCCATGGCAACTGTCCACATTCTTTCCAATAAGGAATTCATCAGAAAGGTCTTGCTAAGAGATGACTAAAATTAACTGCATATTGGAAATAATCAACTAAATTTTCAGAGTTACCTACTGTATCTCAGCAGAAACAAAAACTATTCTTTTCCTCACTTCAATAGAGAATGCAACTTTCCTACCCAACATGCACTCTCTCTTCCTTCCTTAATAATGGGGATCCCATAAGCTTGTCGAATCACTATGTTGTACACCTGAAACCAAGGTAACATTGTGTCAACTGTACTCAAAATTTTTTTTCAAATGATGGAACCCCAATTTTATTTGGGGCATCATGCACCTAGTTTAGTTTCCCAGTTTCCATTATAGCGAGATGTGGCCATGTATCTAAGTTCTGGCTAATGAGACCAAGTGGAAATGGTGTGTGGGACTTTCTGACAAGGTAGCTTTTTTGTAACTGACTCAACTCAAAGATGGGTCTTTTGGCCCTTCCCCCTTCCTCTTTGCTGCTATCTGTACTGACACAATGACTAAACTCCTGCAGTCACAGTGGTCCCATAAGGTCACCTGAAGGATGTTTCTTAGAAAACAAAAAAATTTTAGCTATTAAAATAGTTGCTGGCCCTCCATAGGGTCACAGCACATGAACAAATGCACATTATATCTATGACACAAAATTTCACAATGGGATCTGAAAGGCTTCCTGAGATTTTTCTTTTCCAGTCCAACATATGAGAAGCTCAGAAATTCATAACTGCCAAAAATTAAATGCAAATAAGATGTCCTTCGGGGTGCCTGGGTGGCTCAGTCGTTAAGCGTCTACCTTCAGCTCAGGTCATGATCACAGGGTCCCGGGATTGAGCCCCGCATCGGGCTCCCTGCTCCGCAGGAAGCCTGCTTCTCCCTCTCCCACTCCCCCTGCTTGTGTTCCCTCTCTTGCTGTGTCTCTCTTTGTCAAATAAATAAATTAAATCTTAAAAAAAAAAAGATGTCCTTCGATAGGTAAATGTATGAACAAACTGTGCTACAACCAGACAGCAGAGCGTTATTCAGCAATAAAAAGAAACGAGCTATCAAGCCACTAAATGTCACGGAGGAACCCTAAATGCATATTGCTAAGTGAAAGAAGCCAGTCTGAAAAAGCTACATAGTGTATGATTCCAATCACATAATATTCTGAAAAAAGACAAAACTATAGAGACAGTAAAAAGATTAATAACTGTCATCAATCGGGGGAGAGGAGATAGGAGGAGGGATAAAGAGGTTGAACACTGGGCATTTTTAGGGTGGTGAAGCTATTTTGTATAATAGTATAATGGTGCACACAAGATATTATGCATCATCAAAACCCATAAAACTATAAAACACCAGTGAAACCTAACTTAAACTTCAGTTAAAAATAACGTATCAATATTGGCTCATCAATTGTAACAAATGTACCACACTAATGATAGGAGAAATTGCACATGTTTTCGGGGGTGGAGGGTAAATGAGAACCCTCTATACTTTCTGCACAATTTTTCTATAAACCTAAAACTGCTCTAAAAAAAGGGCAGGGGCTAGCGGGTAGGTGTGGCAGGAAGAGGGGAAGTTAATGAAGAAAAGGCTAAGCAGTTCTGATCTAGTCTGAAGAAAGGCTCCAGCTATTTAAGTTTTTTTTTTCCAGCTATTTAAGTTTTAAACTTTAATCAGCTTTCAGAAGTTTTAGGATAATGCAGAACTGGGTTCAAATCCTGGAATTTACTAATAAGGTGACAAGCTCTTTATCTTCTTTCAGTATTGTACAATGGAGGTAAAAATACCAACTTTACATAGGGTATATTTTTAAAGATGTTATGTACGGTGAAGTAAATATAAGTGCACATATAAAGTGCTCAGGCTTTGACCCAGAGAAGCTCAGTAAAAGGTATTCTTCTACTTTTTGATCATAAACACCAAAATCGGGGCGCCTGGGTGGCTCAGTCGTTAAGCGTCTGCCTTCGGCTCAGGTCATGATCCCAGGGTCCTGGGATCAAGCTCCGCATCGGGCTCCCTGCTCAGTGGGAAGCCTGCTTCTCCCTCTCCTGCTCCCCATGCTTGTGTTCTCTCTCTCCCTGTGTCTCTCTCGGTCAAATAAATAAATAAAATCTTTAATAAATAAATAAATACATAAATAAACACCAAAATCTATATATTTCATTCCCATAAAAGGTAGTAAAGCATCTAGACTATTTTACCACTACTTTAATTTACCACAAAGAAAACCACCCTGAAAAAAATCCACATAAAAAAAAAAAAAAAACTGGGGACGCCTGGGTTGCTCAGTTGGTTGGGCGACTGCTTTTGGCTCGGGTCATGATCCCAGAGTCCTGGGACTGAGTACTGCATCGGGCTCCCTGCTTGGCGGGGAGTCTGCTTCTCCCTCTGACCATACCCCCTCTTGTGCTCACTCTGTCTCTCTCTCAAATAAATAAAATAAAATCTTTAAAAAAAACAAAAACACCTGGGGCACCTGGCTGGTTCAACCAGAAGAGCATGCAACTCTTGATCTCAGGGTTGTGAGTTTCAGCCCCACAGTGGGTGTAGTGATTATTAAAAAAATAAAAATAAAAATAAAAAAAACTTAAAAAAATAAAAATTTAAAATTTAAAGAAAATTTTGGGGCGCCTGGGTGGCTCAGATGGTTAAGCGTCTGCCTTCGGCTCAGGTCATGATCCCAGGGTCCTGGGATCGAGTCCCGCATCAGGCTCCCTGCTCCTTGGGAGCCTGCTTCTCCCTCTGCTTCTCTCTCTTTCTCTCTCCCTCTCTCTCTCCCTCTGTCTCTCATGAATAAATAAATAAAATATTAAAAAAAAAAAATTTAAAGAAAATTTTAAAAACTTATGAAAGTTGATAACTTTATATGACAATTACAATATGACTTATAGCTCATATGATTTAGTGACTGGTACAGTACCATACCAAAAAAAAACAACTTCTCCACATTTTTTCCCATCACAGGCAACTTTTCTACTTGGTAAAACTAAAGAAAATTTTGTTCATAGCTCTGTGCCAAATTGATAATTAGAATGAAGAATGGAACAATAGTAAAGTTACTTTTAAAAATTCAAAAGCTCTTATTATCACTCTGGATTTCTATTTTTACGTCAGAAGCAGTACATGTATCAGGAAAGAGGCCAGTAAAAAAGTTTACGAAGATAATCGGATAATGACTAATAATAATTAGACTTAGTCTGGATCATCTAAAAATCACAATTTGAACAAAATTTTAATATTAAATTTTTCACAAACATGGTCCTCTAAGGAAAAAGGTTCTCTTATTCCCATCAGAAAACAAAAGAAATTTAAATAGAAAATGTGTTACCACTAAAGACTGACAAACTCCCAAAAAGTCAGACTCCATTAGATATCTTCTTAAAATCTACTCCCTAACATCAATAGCAGAAAACAAATAACAGAAACTTACATTTCTTGTATGAAGTATGAATCATAAAATCTTTGGCTTATTATTACTTCTATCACTTTCATTTACCTTTTCTACCCAATAATCTTCTCTCCTTTGTATCTGTTATTTATCTACAACACTAAGGAATTTTGTTTTCTTTTTTCCAAAATGTCCAATGGAAAATGCTTGTGTTCCACAGACAAAATTAATCTTAAAGTTATAAATAAATCAGCCAATCACTGTTGTTATATTTCTAATAGATATTAAAAGCAGCTAACACTTATACAGCATTTACTAGGTGTCAGGTTCTAAGTACTTTATACATATTAACTAATTTGATCCATGAAAGAACTCTCTTTTGAGGTAACTCCTATCATCAAACCTATGAGGGTAGCTAAATGCTATGATACCAGAAGTATCAAGAAAAGATTTTCTTATAACTTCATTTCCATTATAATCTAGCTGACAGACACAACAATCATAAAAATACACCCTAATTTCAGAGCACCTAGAATGTGGGGAAAAATGCCTACAGTTCAGAAAGGAAAGAGATCATTTCCACCCCATTTTAAAGATGAAGGAGCTGAGAAATAAAAAGGTTATGCTACTTGCTCAAGGTTTTATGGCTCTTAGGCATAATCTTACAATCACTATCCACTCTAAAAAAAGACCAACAAAATGATGTCTATGATGCATTACAAAGAGAACATGCATAATAAAATCAGTTCTAATTCATGATGCTATTCTAAAAAAGTATTTTGTAAAAATCTTCTACATTTGAGAAATACCCACGAGGCATAAAAGAACCACCATTCTGATAGAAATGTCCAAGAGTATATGATACCTCTCATCTGACAATATCAGGGAACTTAAGGGGAATTAACTCATGACTTTAGAATGATTATCAATTATTATTCTCCCCTTTTTATAAAGGTGGCTAAAAGATCTTTAGATTCCAAACAGATTTCTCCCTGTGAAGTCAAATGAAGACATCAATCACCATTTTTCTATTCCTACAATAATCAGAATACTTAACTGACATATCTAAAAATATTTAAACTTAATTTTAACTCTGTCATGTATGTGGAAAATTTGTGAAAAATAGAAGGGTGACAGGAAATTTAGACTAACCAGCTATAAGAGCCATTAAGTAAATTTTCTCTCAATTGAATCTTGTCAATGACTTTATTTTCCAGGACTTCATTTGGGAACTTTTTTTTTTTTTTTAATTTACTTATTTATTTTTGAGAGAGAGAGCACATGAGGCCGTGAGGGCAGGGGGAGGTCAGAGGGAGAGAAAGAATCCCAAGCAGACTCCCCTCGGAGCATGAAGTCAGACACGGGGCTTGATCTCACGACCCTGAGATCATGACCTCAGCAGAAATCAAGAGTTGGTCACCTAACTGACTGAGCCACCCAGGCACCCCTTCATTTGGGAACTTACTTAAAGGACATAATGAGTGAATAAAATGCATTGATACTAATCTGATATTGGTTTGGACAAATCAGCTGCAAAGAAAACTTTGGGGCTAACTGCCTCATAAGATAAGATGAAAATTTACTGAACTGTAGAGGGAGTCAAGCTGGGGAAAAAATCAAGTTAACATTAAGTGTTCAGGGCACCTGGGTCGCTCAGTTGGTTAGGCAACTGCCTTCAGCTCAGGTCATGATCCTGGAGTCCCGGGATCGAGTCCCACATCGGGCTCCCTGCTCAGCGGGGAGTCTGCTTCTCCCTCTGACCCTCTTCCCTCTCGTGCTCTCTGTCTCTCATTCTCTCTCGAATAAATAAAATCTTTAAAAAAAAAGTTATAAAGATTAAAAAAAAACATTAAGTGTTCATACAATGGCAAGCTCTAAATGGTGGGAATTAACTTTTGCTTGACTAAAAATTTCAATAAAATATAATTTACGTATTTTATAATTTTCAACAATGTACCTAGACTGCTTCTCTAATAATACCTTTTAAGAAAGGGAACAGAAGGAAAAGAAACAGAAGAGAAGGGAAGGGGGAAGAGAAGAAAAGGACAAGGGCACCTGGGTGGCTCAGCTGGTTACGTGACTGACTTGACTGTGGCTCAGGTCAAGATGCCAGCGTCCTGGGATGCAAACCCATCCTTCGGCTCTGCGCTTGGTGGAGAGTCTGCTTGACATCCTCCCTCTCCCTCTGCCCCTACCCCCACTCATGCCCATGCTTTCTCTTTCTCTCACTAAAATAAATAAATCTTTTTAAAAAATAAAGAATAAGGACAGAGGAGGAGAGGAGGGGGAAGGAAAAAGAAGAAGGGAAGGAAGGGAAAATAAGGAAGAAGAGATATAGCTTCAGAATTAGACCTAGGTTCAATTCTTGATGGTACCATTTAAGAGATGAGTGACAGTGGTCAAGTTACTTAATCCCTTTAAACCTCAGTTTCTGGAGAATATTACCTGTGTTATAAAAATGTCTATAAGGGAGATAATGAGATAATGACGTACCTAATATACACGATCTAAAACACTAAGAATTCATTAAAGAACAGTCATCTTCATCCTCTTTCTCCATAGCTAACAGTAAGTAGGAAAACATACCCGGGCTTCTCTCCTAAATGCTTCTGGAAAGTGCAGAGTGGGAGACAAGTGAAAGCATCTGTTTCCACAGTGTCTTTGGCAATCCACAGGAGCAGAAATGGTGAATAAAAATGGTACTTACTCGAGACATACTATATATTTTTATATTAGTTTAAAAAGTATTTGCTATTGGTTTAATCAAATCATCCAAGTCACAGTCATGATCTTTTGGCCAGAAATCATTTCACAAAATCCTTAACTCTGCTTTATTTCAAAGTGTCAGTCAGCATCTAGGGTTGACTCTCTTTGAAAAGCTCTTCCTTGTCAGTACAAGATTTATTATCATGGATAATAAAATGCCCATACTTTTAAAGTCATTTAAAAGTTAACAGAGGTCAATAAATTAACCCCCAATATGATTCCCTACTTTTATCCAAGATGACAGATGCACAGCAACAGGATGCTGTTAGCATGAAGAGAAAAAAGGGGATTGGAGTATAGGTGCCTTAAAAGTATTCCAGAAAATCTGCTTAGCCAACAGCAAAAACTTCTCAGAAAAACAACAGAGGGAGACATCAGAACTCACTTCAAACGTTCAGTTCCTAACTTCCTTAAAAATGCAATAATTGGAAGAAAGGACAGAGGGAGAAAAGAACTTTAATTCTCAAAGCAGAAACAGAATGGAGAGGAGGGGAGGTTCTATCTCCATCTCTGTAGTTATTTTAAAGTTCTTTGAAGTTATTTTAAAGGATCATAGAGCCACACGGATCTCCTCTACAAAAGTTTATTCACTGGATTTTGAAAGAAGAAAAAAATATCTTGAAACCAAGTAATAAACATTAGATTCTCAGGTTCTGAATAATAAAAAAATTAATCCCCTTCTCTGGGATTAACTGCAGCCTGCTGTCTCAAAATTTGGAAAACCAGTGTTAGGGCCCTAGTAGATTTAGACTCTCCAATGGTTTCCACTAAACTCACAATTAAATACAAAAACATGCTTACCACAACCTCAAAGGGCCTTAAGATCTGGCTCCAATCCACCTCTGCAATCTCATTCCCACTATGTGCAGGCACAAAGTTTTGATTAGTTATTAAAACTGTCAAGCTTGTCTTCAACTATAACTTTGCACGTTATTTCCACTGCCTGGGAAGGGCTGAATCTTTAGGTCTTAGTTTAAATATATCTCCTCAAGGAAACCTTTCCTAACTACCTTATCGTTTCATTCGTTAAGGGACAGGAGTAAAATTAAGGTAACTAAGATTTACTGAGTATCTAAGAAACACTGGGCAAGCTTTCACATGATTTCCATTTAATCTTCACAATAAACCTCAGAGATAGATACTATTCTTATATATGAGGAAAACAGATGCAGAGATTGAATAGCTGATCCAAGGTCACATAGGTAATACATAACAAAGCAAAGATTCGAGCCCAAATTTGTCAAATCCCAAACCCACAATCTTTCTGCAGCACTATATTGCCTCTGTTTAAACAGAAACCATTTTACTAGGAGGAAATGCTTAATTAAATACAAAGCTACAAAAAGAACTGTAGTTTATATATAAAAATCTATAAACTGACAGTCTGGATAATTAACTCTGTATTTGGAACCCTCATTTGGTATCTGTATTTCTTTTATATTACCAATTACCTAACTAGGATCATTAAAGGAACAACAGCTACTTCTCTTAAGACTCAAAAATTTCATAAGATATATTTAAAATGCAGCTATTTCTCTTCTATACTTTATATATTTAGTATAATAGATAAATAAGTAGGAAATTACAGAATTTCTGAGTTTACTCCAAGGAGATCAGATAATACATACTCAAAAATGGCAATTTTTTGTGTTTTTTTTTTTAATGAAGAGGCAAGATTTTTAACATTCTCAATTAAGGTTAATAAATTAGAACAATACTGAGGCAAAGTTAATTTGCCCAATTACTCTGGAAATATATCGTATTTTATCTTGGTTTCTTGCTGTTTACATACATGCCTAACTTTCTCAACCAGGGCTATAAAATTCCAGAAGCCAAGGTCTTTAACCTATACATATCCATAACACCTTGTGATGGATTGACTCAAAATATTTTTTTAAGATTTATTTATTCATCTGCGAGAGAGACATAGAGCACGCATACGAGTGGGATGAAGGTGAGGGGCAGAGGGAGAGAACCCCCAAGCAAACTCCCTGCTGAGCATGGAACCCAATGTGGGGCTTGATCCCATGACCCTGAGGATCATGACCTGAGCTGAAACCAAAAGTTGGACACTTAACCAACTGAGCCACCCAGCACCCCCTCAAAATATTTTTAAAACGCCAATTATTTGAAAAAAAAATCAATTTTCTTTTATATCCTCTGTGTTAGTTTTTAAATATGTCCACAAACTCTTTAGTGTTCCTCCCATTAAAACATGATGCTAATTCCCCTCCCCTTAAGGGTGGGCTGACTAGTGACTTTCTTTTAAGGAAAAAACTGGCAGAAGTGACTGTATATGATTTCCAAGAATAGGTCATAAAAAAGGCACTCGTGGCTCCCTCTTTCAGATTACTTACTGTAGGGTAAACTAGCAGCTACATCCTGAGAACACACGAACAGCTTACAGAGAGGTCCACATGGCTCAGGACTAAGACCTCCTGCCAATAGCCAGCGAGGACATAAAGCCTCCTAACAACAGTCTTTTGAGTGAGCCATCTTCCTGCCCCAAACAAGCCTTCATATGACTACAGCCTGGCCGACATCTTGACTACAACGTTATATTGACACTCTTGAGCCAGAACGACCCTGCTCACTGGCTTCTGAATTTCTGGCCCACAAACCTGTATGAGATAATAAATGGTCACTGTTGTTTTAAACTGCTAAGTTTGGGGGAGGGGGGGTGATTTGTTATACAGCAGTAGATAACAAATTAAGAAATCTCAATTATGAAATTCCTCACATTGTTTCTCATGAACATCTGCCTCAAACTTTTTCCCTTCCCGACACTCATCAGAATCTTGGGGATCAAGGTAGTTATTTATTTAGAAAAGGCCCTGCCACACGATCCTGTCATACCTCTCTCTGATTTGACAATCACTGATAAAGAACATAATTATCTGAAAATTAAAGTATCCATTAGATGTTGAGTAAAGTAAGTAAAATAATAGTTTTTACCAGACTTAGAACCCAGGCTCTACTTGGACTTCCTAACTGGGATGACTTACCTAACCCTCAGGGGGATTCCTCCTACTTGCTCTTTCCCGTGAGTCCTATGAACAAGCTTTCATAGCAGGGCAAAAGCCCCACCCAGAATTTTTATGGAAACTCTAATAGACTAAAGTGCCTAATTCCACACAAGACAAATTTTCTAAGTTGTGTCAGATAGTACAGAACAACTTAAATTACTACCCCTCTCACCAACGCCCACCCCTGTAAAAAAAAAAAAAAAAAAAATAGGAAGCATTTTCTGGTGCCATTTTTTTTTTTAAGATTTTATTTGTTTATTTATTTGAGAGAGAGAGAATGAGGCGGGGAGAGAGAGAGAGAGAGAGAGAACACATGAGGGGCGGAGGGTCAGAGGGAGAAGCAGACTCCCTGCTGAGCAGGGAGCCTGATGCGGGACTCAATCCTGGGACTCCAGGATCATGACCTGAGCCGAAGGCAGTTGCTTAACCAACTGAGCCACCCAGGCGCCCCATGGTGCCACTTTTTTAAGATTAAGAGAAGCAAATAATCTCACACATGGCACATTCAAGTCTGTCCTGCTGTTCATAAGTTGCCAGGTTTATTCATGGCTAATAATCATGGAAAAGCAGATGACAGGTATGTAGAGTCAAGCCATTTAGGATCACCTGGACACATTCCTCGGGCAAATTTCCTAAGGAGCTGGAAGTAAGGAGAGCAAGAAAGGGATGCAGTAAAGGAAGGATGACAGGAGACAGTCACTGACTCTAACACACACCAAATCGTACTCCTACTTATCTCACAGATTTCATTTCCCTGCCCCAATCATTCTTGTAAAGGTATCATTTAAATTTCCAAATTGCAAGAGGTGAATGAAAGCAACATTAAAGATGTACAAATCACAAAGTTATACCACTC